AGCCCAACGTAGAGGCAGAACTTGACCATGAGGTAGATGAGGCCGACAATCATGAGCTCTAGTATACGTGGCCCATGAAGGCATGTGCTACATAGTACATATGTGCATGTGTACCTTGGGTCGTCTTGTGCAGCATCTCGGCGTATTTGCGATGGCGCTTGAACGCGTGCTCGAGCGAGTGCAGGAACGCGTCGAGCACAATGACAAAGACGACGAGGCAAGCGACGTAGAGGAGGACGTCGCTCGTCTCGAGCGTCGCTGTCGGCGCCGCCAGGACCCGGTCGTCGGTCATGTGCCAAAATGCAACTGCTGCACCACCGGTGGTTGCCTTTCTGTGCTATCCGGATTTCCGGATGAACTCGTAACTGCTTGCGGTGGGATCTTGTGTGATTACTGCCCCAAGCCGAATTGAGGTATTCTTGGATGCCCTTCTTGGAATTCGCTCGCAAACACTGAACCCTTGTCGGTGAGAGCAGTTGCGTCATGCGTCGCCCTATTAATACAACGAATCGCTACGCTAGATGGAGCGTCACCCGCACTCGAGTGACCCATGCGTGCGAGAGCGTGCTTGTTTACACCCGCACGGTATTCCTCACGAGGCATACAGCAGGGGGAAGTACGAGTACACTGTACCAGGAAAGCGCAGCTGTTGTGGCAAGAAGGGTGGTTGTGTCGATGTGTTCGAGTTGACACTCGAGCTGGGTTCGCGACTCCCGCTGGGTCACTCCCTTTCGGACGGTGGCCAAGCCAGACCCAGCAAACAAACCAGTACTCCCTTGACATCAAGGAGCGCTTGAGCGAACGCGGTTCGTTACCAACAAAACGACGGAAGCCGAGCGTAGCGGAGGTGCGAGCGATGGGCTGCCTCGATGACTTGACTGCCGGTGTGTGCGACTGCTGCTCCGTGTGTAGGAGGCGACGCGTGCGAAACCTCGCGCTACATGACGTTGACTCGTGCGTGCATGAGAGGCTGGGCAGGCTGCGGAGCCTTCTCCGAAGTACTTGTTGGATGCAGGTGCACGTTTCGAAATCTCTGGAATCTGAATGTGAAAATTATGAAAAAATGATAGATTCACGGGTCCTTGAAGCGTGGAATGTGACGGCGAAGTCATTCTCCCTTTGCATGACCCTCGACGATCATTTCCTCCTTGACAACAAACGCGCAACGGTGCGACCAAAGGAGTTGACAGCACTTCACAGCGACTGATTCGTCGATCCCAGAACGACACGTGGGGTCAACGATGGAATCTGTTGTTCTCGTCCTCTGGATACAACGTCCCGAAATGGGCCCTCGACGCTGAAACGGGCGAAACGCTCGCGTGGTTAGGGTCCACCCTGCACCACAACAAACTGTCCAACGCTAGGTTTCGTTCCATGTAGGGGCAGTCAGCAAACATTCGCCGCAGTCTCTAGCGGTAACCACCCGAAGCTTCTCGCTGATATAGAGCTTTATGAGACCGCGTACTATTACTAATGCATGCGTGTATTGGCCGTCGGCGCTCGGAGCTGCGTCGATGCTGAACAAGCTTCAATGGAGTAAAGACGACGACGATCAGGCTGGGCCTCGCGACATACCAAGGAAGCCCACGGCAGCCATGTCCAGCACAACTCTCTCGACCCATACGCACGGCATGAGGCAACTTTGGTGGGCTTCACGTTCTCTTCCCAGAACTCGACCACGAGCTGCCAGCACCGAGACAGTGTTTGACAAACCCGATTCAAAACAGTGTTTCAAACACTGTTTTTCTTGGTTTGCATGGTATCCGATGTGGGAGGTACCATCGAGTTTGAGAGACCCATTGTTTGGTCGGAGTTGGCTTTGAGCTACCGAGCCGCAGCAGCAGCATGGCCGCCCGCAAGTCGCTGCTCATCCCGGTCCACAAGAGCGATGAGATCGTCGAGATGTTCTCGGACGAGCTGCCGGAAGACGCCAACGACATCATGGAGATCCTCCGCGCCGAGATCGCGCCGCTGGAGGTCTGGCTCAACTTTGCCGTCGAGTACTACCTGCAGGGCAAGGTCGCCCAGTTCGAGCAGATCTTTGACCAGGCCACCATGTCGGACGCCGACGAGATCTACCACGACGAGGCTGCGCGCATGAGCCGACTCAAGATCCTCAACGCATGGGCGTGCCACCACATCAACACGATGTGGAAGGAGGACGATGACCGGAAGCGCGAGGTGCCATCGCAGAAGGCGGCCGCGCTCTTCCAGAAGGCCGACCGCATCGATCCGCAGTGCATCACGACGCTGACAGGCAAAGCGCTCATGTTTATGGCCAAAGGCGAGGACGAGCGCGCCGAGCGTTTCCTCCGGACCGTTCTCCAGGTGCAACCCGAGAACCTCTCGGCGATCCTCGCGACCGCGCTCCTCCAAGTGCGCAAGCGCAAGTTTACCGAAGCGAAGAAGCTCTACTACGACGCGATCGCGCTGCACCCGCAGTCACCCCAAGCTGCGCGCATGCGCATGGCGTTTGCGTACTGTTGTTACCAGATGGGCTGCGTCGACAAGGCGCGCGCGGTCATGAAGTACGCGGCCAAGCTCGACGATAGCTACGTCGATGCGATGATGGCCAACGCGATCTGGCAGCTCGCGACGCTCAGCCCAAGCGAGCGCGCGCGCAACATGCAGAACGAAGGTTGCCCGCCCTTTTCGACTACTCCAACGACTCATACTGTCATCCTCTAGGCTCGCGCTTCATGACGATGGTGCACCACGCGCACGCGCTCGACAAGACGCACCCGTCCGTCTTGAACCACTTGGCCAACCACTACTTCTTGCAGTGGTCGCCGCTGCCAGGCACGGCGGCGGTCGAGCGCGGGTCGTCGACCGTGGTCACGTCGCACGATCTCTCGACTGACTTGGCGCCCGGGCATCTCATTAGCCTCGGGAGCAAGTTCTTTTGCTACGTCGTCGCCATCGACGCGGCGAAAAACACGCTCGAGATCGACGTGCCGTACAGCGGCCGCACGCGCAGCGGCATCAGCGTCAGCCGCAAGATGTACGACCAGATGTTTGCGCTCGCGGCCAACGCGTACCACAACACGCTGACGAAAGAGCTTCGCGCCGAGAGCTGCTACCTCATGGGCCGCGGCCGCCACGCCGAAGGCAAGTACGCGGACGCGTATGGGTACTACTTCAAGGCGAGTCAGCTCATGCCGACGCTGGCGTCACCGTGGCTGGGCCTCGCCCAAATGTACTACCAGCAAAACCAGCTCGACAAGGCGACCGCGTACCTCGAGAAGACGCTCAAGGCGTACCCGGACAACACGGACGTCCTCCTCTTCCTCGCGCACGTCTACAGCAAGACAACGCAAGACGGACGCGATTGCGCACTACCGCCGCGTGGCCGGACGATTGACCCGGGCAACGTCAACGCGCTCATTGGCGTCGCCG